GATTATGATATGCCTAATGGAGGAGGGTATGGGTATTTTTACAATGTGGAATGACTGAGGCTCGGATACTGAGATACTGTATGGGGAGATTAGTAATCTTGTCTTGCCGTGGGGGAGATTAGTAATTTGTGATCGGGGGGACTTGAGGATGGATAGGAACAGTTTACTACCCCTTTTTTTTTGGGTGATTCTGAAGTAACAGGAGCTGATTTTCAATGCCTACACTATGGACCGGGAGGACCTTTTATTTTGTTCTAGTATTTTGCTGCTGTTTTTTATTTGATCTTTACATTGAACTCTGACCATAAATTAATCCCGTTGTGGTAAAACATGGTAGGATCAGTAGAATATGGGTGAAGGTTGAAACCCTAAATTTTGTGTGCATAAGATCTTTAGCACAGCTGCTGATGTAATTCTACTTGTGTTACCGTATGGACATTATTTCCAATTGAATTTCCAACTTGTTTCAAATGCAAGTATTGTAATACACGTATATGATAACCTTTCAAATGCAAGTATTATAAGAAGTTCGGCTACTTTGTCTAGTGACTTTTGGTTTCAGGCGGTCTATTAACTCTTTCAATCATATTAAAGTGGATTTTCTTACACGTGAAGCCAAACGGCCACATGTATCCACGTATATGAGGCTAAAAAATTTGTCAGGGCTATGGATGTGAGGATGTGATGTAAAAGTCCTACATCATGTGGGAGATAAACTGAAATATTGTACGGGACTTATAAGCATGCAGTTGGTATGCTCGTATTGCAATTGGTTTTATATTAGAACCTCAATAATATTAAGGTTAGTTTGGTATTGTTTTGCTTTAAAACAACTTATGCCCTATGCCCTGTTGTGATTATAAACAATTGTGAAATAAAATAGTTAAGTGTTTGCTAAACTATATTAATCAAAATGATTTTAGAAAAATAAGCAATGTTGTAGTGTTTGGTGAACTTTTATGTACAAGTATTGTGATTGTGTACAATAACCAAAATTGATATAATGTTGAATATGCAATTAATTTTATTTCTGAGGTGATTTTATTAATTTCATCATTTAAGAAAAAAAAAATGGTAAGTTTTTAAGGTGTTTATTGTTCTTGGTTCAGCTAAAAAGAAAAGGTCTTTATTATTTTCATTAGGAAAAAAAAAAAAAAAAAAAAAGCCTTCAAGCTATCGTTTCAATTTCAGATCAGAAACTACGGGAGGTTGTGAAGATGTTGAGCTCTACCACTTGTATAATCATCATGATTCTAAAAGGCGCTAATCAAACAACAAGCAGGAATTAACATGACAAATCATTGAACACGGACCGCTTGCCGGACTCCAAAATTTCTCCACACGGACGGCTTGCTGGACTCCAAAATTTCTCCCCTATTGATGATATAAAAATAAATAATCAATAAAATTACTTGTGGCTAGAGCCTAGAGAGAGACTCTGTCAGATCATGGGAGTTTTTTCAAATCGACTACTTTTAGCTCAATATATACATCCCTTTCCAATCCTGAAATCAAAATTAGATTTTATAGAGTTTTCTGCTAATACATTATTAGCTACATTATATGCTTCAATAACAATAACAAGGCGTATGGTAATAGGTAAATTTAATTTCTTGAACATTTTTTTTTTTCGTATCTAAATCTATTGGGAAAGGAAAATTAAACTTATTCTTCAACAGCAAGGTATGCACATTAAATTGGTTATAAACTGAATTACAAGTGACCTGTGACCATGTAAAATGAGTGAACTTATTTATCATTCTTCAATCATGAGTATGATAATTGGCATGAAATGCTACGTAAAAAGCTAGTCTAAATTTTACAGTTACTGAAAATCAAGACAGAGATTTTTTTTTTTTTTTCTATGAGAGAAAATGTAAGAATTTGATAAGGTTAAGGGAGAAATTCTTGGTTTGATTTGTTTGAAGAATTTGAGATATTGGAGGAAACTAAGTTGAGAATGAATATTCTTTTTTCTTCCATGTTTTTGCCAGTGGGTTGTTGTTTCTGTTGGCCGATATATCATAACTTTACCAGAAATTTGTGGGTTTTTATTAGCATGTTTTACCTGAGCGGAGCCCATTATACCAAATAGTGACCTAAATTTCATTCAATGTAAACTCAAATACTCTAGAGTCCTTACACAAACGCATTCTAAAAATCTTGGACGACGGAAAACCATCCCTGGCACGTTCAAACGCCTATTAAAGAAGACGACAACTCTGGACAGGGAGGAGGAAGCTAATTAGAATGGATCCATTCGTTGATGTAGCACAACCAAAATGGAAGAATTTGCAACCGCTACAGCAGTTTGCAAAGCGGGCAAGATAGTGAGCCGTATAAAACTCTACTTTTCGATCTTGGAGGAGATAGTTTGAAGGTGAGTGCATTGGACATTGAAAAGTACAAATGAAAAGTAGCTAGTGTAGATGAGAGGTAGAAAGTAAGGACATTTTGTTTCGGTTTTGTAACTTGCATATGCAGGATTTTTCAGTGCTATATTCTTGTTTCAAATGATTGTAATTTTATTAGAAAATCGTGAACCGCTTTATGCTAGAGATTAAAAAGAGGAATAAAAAGGATTCAATTCTAAAGAGAGGTGAACAAGGGGCTTAGAGCATTAAACTGTGAGTTGTCAATGATGAAAAGCTGGAAAGTAAAGCGGTCGATGAGGTTATCATGCTAGGTGGTGGCAGTCGAATCCTGACAATCAAAAGATGTTGAAGGATGGGTTTGCTGAGATGGAGCCAAATGAAAGGATGTAAAATTGTGTAGCCTATGGGACTATGGGGCTGCTTAGAAGCCAGAGACCATGGAGAGGGATAGAGGAGCATGAGTGTGTGATATATAAGAAAGGAGCATGAGTGTGTGATATATAAGAAAGTGAGATTTAAAGGCATGTTGAATATGTAAGGTGAATTTCACTAAACCGTATATATCAGCCACATCATTATCATATCTTCTACGTTTTTGCCAGTGGGCTGTTGTTTATGTTTGCGGATCTATCATATCTTTACCAATAGTTTATTGGGTTTTTCTTACGAAGTTTTACATGAGTGGAGCCTATTATACCAAACAATGGCAGAAATTTCTTTCGATGTAAACTTGAATCCTCTAGAGTTCATACACAACCTCATTCTGAAAATCTTAGAAGACGGATAAACCATATGTGGCAGTCAAATCCCAACGGTCAAAAATATGTTGAAGGATTGGTTTGATGAGACAGAGCCAAATGAAAGTATGCAGAATTGTGTAGCCTATGGGGCTGCTTAGGAAGCCAGAAAGCAAATGCTTAATCATGGGGCCAGGGATATAGAGCATGAAAGTGTGGTATATACGAAAGTGAGATTTGCAAGAACGTTGAATATGTAAAGTGAATTTTGCTAAACCGTATATATAAGCCACACCATTATCACTTATTATCCATATTATGGAAATGCTACCTCTAAAGTGGGATTCTCCATGGATTTTCTGTTACCTCACATCTTAACATCAATTCCCTTACCAACACTATAAAACATTGTGCCAAAAATATGAGGGAGTTTTCATTGAGAGTTCACTTTTGAGAGAGTCCTTCAACATTTCTCTTCGTCTTAACATGAGATCTAAAATTACCATGTAAATCTCACTCCATATTATATTATTCAAGCCGTGTATTTTAGAGATAGATCCTTCTTTTGCTCGCATTACAGCCATCCACTTCCATCTCTGAAACCACTATCTAAAATGTACTAAAGGCACCTCTTCAAGAGCACAAAAAGCAGAGAGAGAGAGAGAGAGAGAGAGAGAGAGTTGTGCCTTTACAATTTCATTGATCACAAAAATGTGTCCAACTTCTCCGTTGCACAAACGAATCCACCAAAGACAACCTGGAACCAGCCATTCGATTCGTTGTAGCTCTTTTCAAATGCAAGACACTTGTTAATGCTAGTTTTGCCATCAACCACTTCCATCTCCCAGAGACTATCTGTGTGCCCGATTTAGATTCCTTCACGTAGCAGTCGACGGAAATGTTAAATCTGCATCAGATAATATGAGTAGTTTTGTCCAGATGCAGAAACGTTGTCTGGAGGTTGGGCTTGAATTCTTCCGTTGGAGTACCACACCACCTTTGTATTTGCAAAGGACAGCTTCGTGTTGTAGATCCTGCTATTTTGGCAGATCATTCAGATCGAAGTCTCGGAAACATTAACATTCAGATCGTGTTTTCTCGATATGTAAGTGTTAGGTCGTACAGTTTGTAGTTTGGTGGTTTGTCGTTGGCACCACCCAGTGGTATAACAAAAGACTGACTGTGTTGCTAACATTCCAATCTTTTGTGTTATGCAATCTTTTGGGTTCCACTTCCATGCTACGTACATTAAATACTACGAGCATTAGATGATTTAGAACCACAATAAAAGCAATAACCCTAATCAATTCAAATCATTCAATCCTCGTAGCATTTACTGTTACGTAACATGGAAGAATTTTTCGATCTTTTGATTTATTTGCAAAGGTGTGCTTTATTAGGTTACTAATTAAGGAATAACGGGGTTTTCTTCTTGGTTTGATTTAATCTACGTCATAAACGTAGATAAATTTTAAACTATTTTTGGAAAGGATTGTTGTTGTGGAGTAGAATATCAATACACATAAAAGCATAAATTCTCCATGCAGAAACGTACACACATTCATATTTCTGCACATACATTGAAATTGTCGAAATTTATCAATAACATGTTAACACATTTTGGTTGCTGTTAGAATATAGACATATTATCTATTATATATCAATATTTCATTATAAAAAACTAACATGTATATCACAGCAGATTAGTGACATTTTTAGAAGTGATTTTAAAATAATAGATCACTCATAACACTTTTGAGGTAATGTTTGACAAACAAAACTTAAAATGCTTATAGACGCTTTTTTTTTTATTTTTTATTAGAAGGTACGATTTGCTCCTAATAGAAACACTTATGAGCATAAGTGGGTATCCCATTTCCAAAGGGTCTTCGGGTCCTTCTCTTTCAATGAATTGAGCCTCAAGCAAGCATCAAGGTCCCAACATAATAAAATAAATTAAATAAATAGAGAAAAGACAATTTTAAAGCGGGATTGCGAAATACCAGTGCCTCCATTAACCACCTGCCCAAGAAATAGAAGAGCCATCAACTTAAGGAGGGCAATTTGTACAAGCACAAGAAAAGCGCTCCATCAATCGCTTCTTCCAAGTTTTATAAATATATTTTTTTTAATATTGTCATTAGACTTTCATTGATTTCTCTGTTAAGGTAAGGTCTCCGCTAAGCTTTGTATGTAATTCATCCTTTTATTTCTTGTTTTTTCATCTGGGTACTTTTTTTTTTGCTGGATTTATGTATTTTTTCCCCGTGAATTCGAACCCAAATCGGGATTAAGGATTTAGATGATAAAAGTTGATGAATTTTTTTATTTACTAGTTTGTATTGGCCCTGTTCTTGATTTGCTAGGGATTGGAGGTTTTGTGTTTTTAGCTGATACTGCTGTGGATAAAGTTCATAGATTTCTGATTTTGGAGGACCCATTTGTGAATTGCTTCTGAATTTGGATAAAAAAAAAAAAAAAAATCTGGGTTTGTAGTTACATCTGGGATTTGTGTGTTTTTTTTTTTGTTTTTGGCAAATGTGATTTGTTGACATGTGGTGAAAAGAATTGGATGTCTTTATTTGTTGTGAGATTCAATTTTGTGTTTCAATATCACAAAGGGTGGAGGAATTTTGAAATTAGGGTTAGTGTTACTGAATTCGTTAGGAGCTAAATGTTGTTGCTTGAGAATTAATAAGCCTTTCTAAGACCCAGTTTTGGGTTTTCTAAATTCTGCCCGTTTCTCTGTTTGTTTGTAGGAGTTTAAGATTAGGATCACTTTTTTGGCTATGGAGAAACTTGATTTGTGGGTGAGATAGTATTGGGTTTTATGGGATGTTCACCTTGCTTACACAACGAATATAGCCAGCGTGGTGTTATGTTAAAAGTAGGACGACGGTGCAAGAATAGTACCTGATTCGTTTAGTTTTTCAGCTTGCTAGTATATTGCATATGATGCCGATATTCAAAATTCTGTTACAACCGTCAGTTTTGGTGTGTCTTGTGTTCTTCACAGGATCATAAGTCTGTTTTACTTCCTTCAATTCCTTCGATTCTTATAGTTTTCTAGAAGAAATGCAGCATCAAATTTTGCATCCGTATTTGACATTCCTCCTTGATGCATATCTATGTAGTATTGTTCTCTGTCACTGTAAAATTGAACATCAAGCATAAATAGGTCATTGTAGTTATATGGTACCTACTTTTGTATTGGGTAGGCAGACCACATGGTACAAAGTAATTCGAACCTTGCCAAATTAAGAGCACTGCCGTATTGTAGTCTCTGCCTACCTTTGATTGGTGTTTCCCAACTGCATGATTGATATCTTATTTAGGTTCCCGTGTGGAATGATCATATTCGATTGTGGTCTGAATACTCGTCGTATCTACAGGTTTCATTTACCCTCCCGAATTGTCATTGATTAGAAATTGTCAATAGTCAAATTGATTGCAGTCAACTGAAATTTTCTAGTATGTATCATGATGTTTGAGAAGTTTAACACATTGTATGATCTTACTCTTTTTTCTAAACTACTATGATGATCTTTTATCAGCACACGAAGTGACAAACAAAGGCAATGGTGAAGGCATACGCACAAGAGTACTCATACAAGCACCCATGGGAGCGGGTGACTTCCGCATCATGGAAAAAATTTGCAGATGCTGAAAACAAACGCACACTATCACATATCCTTGAAGTTGACACTCTGAACCACAAGCTTGATCCCAGCACAGGAAAGCTTTACACCACACGTGCTATCACTGTCCATGCGCCAGGACCATGGTTTCTTCACAAAATTGTTCGCCAGGATGTCTGCCACTGCATTGAGTCAACAGTTGTGGATGCGCAAGCACGATCAATGCAACTCACCACCAATAATATTAGCCTCGAAAAGTTTATAGAGGTGGAGGAGAAGATCAGGTATGATCCCCACCCTGAGAACCCAAATGGCTGGACATTATGCCGACAGGAGACTAGCATTCGAATCAAGCCTTTATCAGCATTGGCATCAATGGCAGAAAAGGTTGAACAACGCTGCGCGGAGAAGTTTGTGCAGAACAGTGCCAAGGGTAGAGAGGTTATGGAGAAGATATGCAAGTATCTCGAAGCTGAATCTAAAGGGATTTCTTTCTAACTTGAATCGGATTTTGTAGTGCTAGATCATGGGCTTGTGAACCCTTTCATAGTAGAAAATAATTGAAGACGGAAAGTGGAGCCGTGGACAATTTAACCTCGAATCTCTGTCGGTCGAAATTTTGATACCGTAAAGTATTTGTTGTGAACTTCAGTTCTGCATCACTTTACATGTAGTTTTTGTAGTTTTGTTCTTGTGTTTGATGATTTACCCAATCTCTCTTGTTCATTATTTACCATTCAAAAGTTATCTAGTTTTACCCTGTTGAGGTGAAAAAATCTTATCGTTTTTGAATTAGCTCACAGTTATATGAAAAGAGGGGATGGTTGAACACAAAACCTCGGGTGCAAGGACAGAGCTACGAGTCTCTTTCACGCGTTAACTGCCATTTTCCGCCAATAAAACTGCTATTTTCCACGTCTTCTACCGTCTTAATGTTCTTCCTTCCTTTGACAACAGTTACATTTCGAGTTCAAAAATTGATCATAATCATATAGAAAACTAGATCTTTAAGAACATGCACGAAGACCCAATCGGCCAAAAATGATCAAAAATCGATCGTAAATAGATACATGCATGAAAGCCACATCAATACTTTACAATACAAGATCCACTGACAATGTACTAGAAGAAACAAGTGCGATATGAACAGCGCATAGACACATTACGAAGATTAACCCGAACCATGTCCACCAAACCGGCATAGATACAACTTAAAGACACTGGAGCAACACATAAGCTTCTCCCAATCGCAACAAATACTGAGTTCTACAGAGTGCAGAGATGCCTAACTGGCCTTACCTTCCCCAGTAGATCTAATATTACAAAAGGGCAAGTGCTAAGATACCGCTGCAGACTCTGAAGCTGTCTCATGGATGAAAACAAGCATCAATTTCGAAAATCAAACTTCACTGCATCACACTTAGATTTTACCAAGCTTCTCAGCTTTTACGACAGGGTTAGCTTTCGCAATAGCATCCTGTCCAGCAGTGAGATAATCGTAAGAGCAGTCATGTTTGTCTGAATAACGATGTACTGCACAAAAGAGGTGGCCACACCGACAATTGAACCCTGTTAATCCAACCCGCTTGTTGCAAGTGTTGCAACGTTTCGGGTCCTCTGGCTTTGGCTCACCAGATGACCCTGAACCCAAGGAAAAGGATGGCTGCGAAGAGAGAGTTTTTGGCTCCATTGGATGGGGTTGAACATCCACAGAAGCAACATGCTCATTTGCGTTGATGCTTGATGTTCTGTTGACAATGCTTCCAAAGGATGATGCAGCAAGCTTCGCCTGCTCCTGTTTCAAGACCATGTCCTTGTGACACTTGGAGCACATATTCATAGTAGCCGCACTTCCAAAAAACCCACAATTGTTTACGCACAAAATAGGACCTTCAGGGGCAGATTGACATCCAGTCTCCTCGTGCTCCATCTTTTCAACTTACCTGCAAAGAGAACACCTGAAACCCAAAGTTCAAATTCAACCTCAGATTTCTCACCACTAGCAATTACAATAACTTCACAAACTACCCAAAACCTGACCTTTGACTCTCAAATTTTGACTAATCATCCAAATAAATAATCCACACAAAAACCCCAAATTAATAATTTGCAGATTTCCCCTAAAAACACCGAATCAACAAAAACTGGGTAATCAACATAAAATCCCAAAATGCAAATTTGCAAAGAACCCCTTGGAAACCTAAATCAACAAAAACCCAAACTTGGTCAGCCATACAAGCACCTATGAAGCACGGATACTTCAGTTGCGCGTATCCTGTATCCGATACTTCATTGCATACAATATATATCATGGTAAAAGGATACGGATTTAACTTTATGGATACACGTATCCCACATTTGGGAAACAAGTATCCAGCTTTTAGATACCTTTACACTTTGAAATGAGAAATTAAGATGAGAAATTAATACAAAACAGAGCTTTAGTTGAAAGTTGATGAAAACGACGTGCTTGCCTCTAATTGGAATAGTGAATTAACTATCACACTTCTTCTTTTGCAGATAAAGAGATTAGATTTCCAACTTTTTTTCTCTAACAAATCAAATGAACTTGAATTTGGATATTTAGAGTTAAAATATGATTTAAATATATATTTTTATTGTCGTATCATATACATATACATATACATACATCCCAAATTGCAAATTTGCAGAGAACCCCTGAAAACACTTAAAATCAATAAAAAAAAAAACCTAACTTTGGTCAGCTATACAAGCACAATATACAAATCCATATACATACACACAAACCCTACCCTGTTAAAAGAAAATCTCTTGAAATTGCACGTCTGAAACCGATTCCCGAGCTCAGAATCGCATCGAACACGGAGCCCCTGTTCACCTAAAAAAACCAAGAATTAACATCAGAGTCGGCAATCGAATACGAAGGGTCGAAAAAACTGAAACCAAATACACAAATCAAGCAGTAATTGAAATTAGGGGATTTTCAAAACCCTAACCCTAGCAGATTTTGGATCGCCCGAGGGGAGAGAAATCGAGGGCCAGCAAGAAAGAGAGAGTCGCGTTTCACTATTTTCCTGTGCGACGCTCTCGTGCATTTTAATAACGACCATTTCTATTATGATGTCAACGTGGCGGTTTTCTATTGGCGGGAGGTCTTACCTCAATTGGCACTAATTTCCTCTTTTGTCCTTTTTGTCAGGGAACTAATATATTCTCCTTTATGAAAGGGGATTCTCTGCGGATATATTTTGTGGGATCTTAGAAATTCTCACATTCTAGCCGTTCATTGTAGATCACGTGTTAGTTTTCGTCAGATATTATTTGTGTTTAATTTTAATAAAAAATTAAATAATTTCTGATTGTACGATACACAATGAATGGTTAAGATGTCCGGATTCCTAGGATCCCTACAAAGTGGATCCAGATGGAATCCAATTCCCTCCTTTATCAGCACACCCAATGACAAACAAATCGATGCTGAAGGTATAAACACAATACCACGTACAAGGGAATATTTTTACTCGCCATCTTATTTATTACTATCACATGAGTTTAAATTTTAAGATTTGTAGAGTGAACAACCTAAATTTCAAATTTTAAACTCATCAAACGATGATAGATAGGATAATGAACATTACCATCAGTTGAAGGTATACAACAACCATGGGTGCAAGATGGTCCGCATTCGGACTTGTTCCACACAAACAGGTGAACCGGTTGCTAAACCCCAAAATTTCTCCGTGGAGGGAGTGACATACACATCGGGTAAAAAATTTACTAATACTAAAATGAACACACACTATCACACACAACAATGATATACGAGGAGAGAGTTGAACACAAAACCTCGGATACAAGGACCAAGCTACAAGTCCTTTTCCCGTGTTAACTGCCAGTAAAACTGAAATTTTCCGCGTCTTTTACCGGCCAAGTGTTATTTCCTTTGACAACAGTTACAGTCTGAGTTCAAAAATTGATCATAACAGCATAGAGAACTAAATCTTTAAGAACACGCATGAAAACCCGATCGACCAAAAAGGAAGAGTAATAGAATTATGCATGGAAACCACATCGATACTTTACAATACAAGATCCACTGACAATGTACTAGAAGTAACAAATGCGATATAAACAGCGCCGAGACACATTACGAAGACCAACCCGAACCATGTCCACCAAACCAGCATAGACTACAACTTAAAGACACTGGAGCAACACATAAAGTTCTTCCAATCACAACAAATAGAGAGTTCTTCAGAGTGCAGAGATGCCTAAACTGCGTTCCCTCAGTAGATGTAATATTATAACAGGGCAAGTGCTAAGATACCGCTGCAGACTCTGAAGCCATCCCGTGGATGAAAACAAGCATCAATTTTGATAATGAAACTTCACTGCACCAGGCTTAGATTTTATCGAGCTTCTCAGCTTTTACGACAGGGTTGGCTTTAGCAATAGCATCCCGTCCAGCAGTGCGATAATCGTAAGCACAGTCATGTTTGTCTGAATAACGATGTACTGCACAAAAGAGGTGACCACACCGACAATTGAACCCTGTTAATCCAACCCGCTTGTTGCAACTGCTGCATCGTTTCGGGCCCTCTGGCTTTGGCTCACCAGATGACCCTGAACCAAAGGAAAATGATGGTTGTGAACTGATAGTTTTTGGCACCACTGTCTGAGATTGAATATCCACAGGAGAAGCAGCAACAACGGGCTCATTTGCATTGGTGCTTGATGTTCCGTTGACAATGCTTCCAAAGGATGATGCAGCAAGCTTTGCCTGCTCCTGTTTCAACATCATATCCTTGTGGCACTTGGAACACATATTCATAGTAGCCGCACTTCCAAAAAACCCACAATTGTTTAGGCACAATATAGGACCTTCAGGGGCAGCTTGACATCCAGTCTCCTCGTGCTCCATCTACTCAGTTTACCTGCAAAGAGAACACCTGAAAACCAACAATTTAATGGGGGACAGCTCAGTAAAAGCGGAAATTCACAAGCCCCCTATACATGCAACAAAAGAACAAACACATGCAACAACTTACCAAACACCATTTATAATTAAAATAATGCTCGCAGTATAATTTAATGCTGGTTGTCTATAAGCAATGTAAATACTAAATTCTTGTTGGAAAGGCACAACTTGTTAAGACTGTATACAATTCCATGTTACATAATATCAAGGAATGTGAAGTCAGGGTATTGCATTATGTTTATAATTTCCACACAACTAATCTTTGAGCAGAAACCGTTTAGATTTCAGTCTGGAAATCCCATAGAACATCATTAACAACATCCAAAAATGTTAAACCAGTAAAAATTCTTTTTGAATTTGTATCACAAGGACATATGCTTGCAAATTCAATAAGATTAAAGAAAACAGAAAACCAGCTAAAAATCAGAAGTAAAATCTTTATTAGAATACCCGAATGCACATTCGTCGTGACAACAAGTATTAGTAGTCAAGCCACACAAACACCTATCAACGAACTGCGAGCAAATATATACAAGAGAATAAATTCAAATACAAAATAAAAATGAAATCTAATTATGATAGACCTCTTCATTTGTGCCAAAGTTCAAATTCAACCCCAACTAGCAATTACAATAACTTCACAAACTAACCAATACCTGACCTGACTCTCAAATTTGAACTAAATAATCATTCAAATAATAATGCACATAAAAACCCAAAATTGCAAATTTGTAGATAACCCCTAAAAACACCTGGAATCAACAAAACTGGGTAATCAACACAAAAATCCCAAATCCCAAATGTGCAGAGAACCCCTCAAAAACACCTAAAATCAACAAAAAACCACCCGAACTTGGTCAGCTAAACAGGCACATGTATAAATATACATACACATACACAGAAATCGTACCCTGTTAAAAGAAAAACTCTTGAAATTGAACCTCTGAAACCGATTTCCCGAGCTCAGAATCGCATCGAACACGAAGCCCCTGTTCATCCAAAAAACCAAGAATTAAAATCAGAGCCAGCAATCGAATACAAAGATCAAAGAAAGCCCTCGATCAAAAGCAGAAAACTTGAAACCGAATTCAAAGAGATCAACAGTGATTGAAATTAGGGGATATTCAAAACCCTAACCCAGCAGATTTTGGATCGCCCGAGGAGAGAGAAAGCGATAGCCAGCCAGAGAGAGAGAGAGAGGAGAGAGAGAGAGTCGTGTTTCTCTGTTTTTCGTTTTCCTGCTCGACCCTCTAGCGCAATTTAATAACGACTATGTCTACCATGAGTCCGACGTGGCGGGATCCTATTGGCTCTCGTGAATTTCCCTTTTTGTCCCTTTTCTCAGGTGTACTAATAAGGGTTTTCGAAAAGGTTGGGAAATATGCTGGTGAGGTTAGGTGTAGTGGCCGGTTAACCACATTCGTAATGTTGAGATCTTTTTCTTTTCCAAGTAAAAACCATTGTTTAGTGTAACAGAAATACGGTTCAGTACATAAATACAATAAAATAATTTGTTGGATAATTAAAAAAACTTAACCGATTATATTATAACACTCACTGTACCAGATCGTTTCTGACACATTGAAAAAAAAAATTTGATTGAATACCAAACCCGTTTTGGATTTGATAACATGAGTTTGTCTAGAGTAAGAATTACAACGAATAAATATACTGGTAATTTACAAATTTATACTTTATTATTAGAATGTAAGCACGTCTTTTTGATCATCGAAGAGTGTGTATTTGTCATCTTATCAATTATAAATCACAAATTCATGAACATAATCACGAGTTTAATAAAAACTATGAAAAAATATATATTAGAGACTTTTAGGTAATAATATTGTTTTGACGAATTTTTTATACTAGTATTATATTTTAAACTGACCTACATTGTGAAACAAACATTCGAGCTTGGATGCATAAAACGGGAAGTAAATGTGCTAGAGGCAATGTGGTTACACTCACATCGATCTGTTCTTGTAATGACCAATTTAGTTTCAATAGATTATTATGAGTAAGTTGTAGGAATGGTTCTTCAATTTTTATTAAATTGGAGCAATGATCCATCAACTAAAAATCAATTATCATGGATCCCTCAACTCATCAAAATGTGTAGATATGTTTCTTTTCGTCAATTTTGTCAAAATAAGTTATGTTGGAATGATCATTGCTACAATTAGGGTCCCTCAACTCATCAAAACGCGTAACTATGGTCATTTTCGTCAACTTCATCAGAATTTTGTCAAAATAAGTTATGTTAGAAGGACCATTGCTACAGTTGGGTTAAAGTTGAAATATCATTGCTCTAATTGAGTTAAAGTTAAGGGACCAATGATAATAGAATTTTAGTTGAGGGACCATAGCTACACGTTTTAATGAGTTAATAGACCAATGGTAATTAATTTTTAGTTGAGGAACCATTGCTCCAATTGAATTAAACTTAAGGGACCATTGTTATAATCTACACATTTATTATTTCTATGAGAAAACTTAACAACTCTTAAGTAATTTTGATGATAGATTAAAAATTAAACAAAACATAGTTGAATAATTGTACCTAGCTTTCAGGAGTAGCGTTAAGTAAACCAAAATTTTAAATTATATAATGTGTCACCAATAGAAAATAAACATGTAATCAACACTTAAGTAATAATTAAATTATCAACAACACGTCATATGATTTACAAAAGTTAGTGTAAGTAATTATTCTCCCTAACATTATCTGAGCTTTTATAGTTTAACTTCCATTTGATTACTTATCTTTTACTCTCAATCAAACTATGAATGGCATATGATTGGTGACACCTCAACCATATGATGATAAAATATATCGATGGAACCTCAAAATGCAAGCAAATATTGCCTTTACAAATTTTGAATATAAAAGGTTTGCTAAACAGTCACTAATTAGTTCTAATTTCCCCCCTTTGCTTTTGCCTCATATCTTCTCTCCTTTTTATACTTTGATCCCTCATTTATGTTTGATTTAAAGCATGTCTTTGAGTATTTTCAGTCATTACCTTTTCTTTTCTTCCTTTTTTCAGGTCTTGTCTAGCTAATCTTTAAGAGTAGTACACCTGGTTTCTGCATGAATCCTTTTCACTGGACTTTTATGCTACTCTCTTGCGCTCCGATTCTTCGAAGGCGGTCATGGAACTAAGAACGATGCGCTGTGGTCTCAAAAATGGAAGATCATCGGCGATAGAGCAAAATCGGGGAGGAGATTTGGCGCTGGTTTCTTGTTCTTCACAAATTTGAGAAAAAGATGGTCAGAAAATTCTACAGAAGTTATTTTCGTTTCTTCCTTACAATATTACACGAAAGGTTCATGGGTGGAAAAGGTAACAATTTGCCATGCATATGTTCTTGCATATGTTCGTCTTTTTGAAATTTTCTGCAGGCTGCATTGAATCCAGGAAATATGTGTCTTCTTCCAGTTTAGATAGTTAGACCTAAAAATAAGATCTGGAGAAACATTTTTTTTCAGGTCCGGCTATTGCTAGCTGTCAAATATCTCCATCCGAACGATGTCCATCAAAGGAGTTTGTAGCTAACGGAAAACATAGTATAAAACTGAGAGTAATGACGTTTTAAGATTTAGGACAATTGACATCACTTAGTAGGATAATGGTTGGTTTTGTTATTGTTGTATTACCTTTCCTTCTAATAGCTCTTATCTGACACAATACTATAAAAAGGTTTTTTTTTTTTTTTTTTTCTTTTTTCGGGACTAGCAAAACTGCTCAACATCAAGGCCCTTGCTCCTTTATGCTTGCACATTGCATTCTTTGGTTAAAATCATTTGGATCATGTCATTAACTTAGCTGCAATCTTTTAATTAGAAAAATGTCATACTTCTTTTGAATTTAAGGAACAGAACAGAGAAGAATTCATCTGAGAAGATCGTTTGTTGAAGCAATCGAAACACATGCCTTACTGAAGAAACCAAGACCGGCTTTCTACAAGCACCATTCACCCCTTTAGACCATCTTTCATTTTAGCTCAGAAAATTTAGGTTTTAACTTTGAAATAACTTTTTTGCTTTAACCTTTATGGGTTAAAATTTTAGGCCTGGATTATTAAAGAATGAATTTAGGCTTTTTTTTTTTCTTAAAACAACTTTTTAAAAGAAAAAATTATGTAGACTATCCTAATTTAATTTTACGAACATTTTAATCTAAAAATATTTAGATTCCGACAAATATTGAAAAATCTTTAACCGACACCATGAAACTCGTGAAATACTATAAAAAAATATGAAACACATAAAAGAATATATATATTTTTAATTAATTTAGCCGTTGAATTTAAATTTGAATCGTTAGATTTTTTTTTTTATCGTTAGACTTCATCAAATTAGATCTTAACCGTTGGATTCACTGAATTTATAAATATAATGCTGAAAAAAAATATACATATGTGGTGGGCTAGCCCTATTAATCCTGGGCTAAATTTGGCCCAAAAATGAGTTTTGAGTTTTAACTTATATTTGCCCCAAGAGTTAGAGCAAGTTTGGATAAGTTTAGAATCTAAAATTTGAATTTTACTCTAAGCATTGGAGTAGGTCTTAGGACAAAGCATTATTAGGACACATGCTAAGTCAAGCATGGCCAACCTTCCATCTTAATCCTCTTTACGCAAAGTCCAACTTTTTATATTAGGCAAATAAGTGGACTTGCCCAAGATTAAACCGTAAGAACCTGATGAACTGTGAAAAAAAATCTGATCGAATTCGCTAGTTATATCTCGTCGAAATCTATTTACATTTCCTGACTACATATGTCTCAGATATCGTCAACCTTCGCTCTAATCGACCTTCCTACGAATGAAAATCTGGTTTTGTAACAGCTTTGTTGCAGAATAAGAAGATCATCTTCAATCTCCAAGGCAAAAAAGAAAAACGAGATCTTCATGATCCGAACCTCTGGTGGAATCTCAGGAAATTAGTTTTCTATTTGTAAAGCTTCACATCATCATTCGATCGCCACCTACACTTCTTCCCTCGTTATTTCTTTATCATATTTTGAATTGTCTATATAAAAAAAAAGAACAATTACATTTTTTTTCTTGGACACGACACATGTTTCTCGCAAATTTATCAGTGTTATTGATATATGTATCCACATTAACGACTATATATACAATTCGTGCTGCATAAAGTTTATAGTAAAGTAATATTGTTCGTTTATATATGGCACTAATTAAAATGGTGGTATAGCAAAATGAAGCAAACAGATGCTAAAAAGAAAGATATAAATAATCGAGGCCAAGAATAATATGCGTAAGTAGCGTTATAGCTTCATTTATTGGGGAATATAGTACACGCACACGCCCTAATTAAAGATGATCAAGTACTTCTCTCGATTTTTTTTTTGTCACTTGATTAATAATTTAGTGCAAGTAAATGGCCAAGAAGGACATGAGTGTTGCTCCAACCAGAGATCCAACTGCGTTCATGTTGCTTCCGCTAGGTGCTGGGGTAGAAGCTTCAGGGCCAGCTGCAGCGGTGGGGGTGGCAGCGGTGGTGGCTGCAGAGGGGGTGGCTGCAGCGGTGGTGGCTGCGGCGCCCTTTACAGGTGCAGCGGCCATTGCTGCGCTGATGCAGACAGCAACTACAAGGACAACCAAGGCAATGTTCTTCATGGCCATTTTGTGGGTGGCGTGCAGTCGGTCGAGGGATCGAAAACACGCCTTGTAATCGGAATGTTAAGAATTTAGAGAGGTATGTATTGATCGATCTCGTAGTAGTTTGTAGCTGTACTGAGGAAATTAGGGAGGGACTTGGGGGTTATATATAGCTTTGGAGTTTCTAACTATGGAGGAGCATTTGGTTATTTTTGGGATAAATCTGTTGGGTTTTTGTTTGAGGTGGGGATGGGTTCTTATGTACGTGTATGGTTTGCATGAACTACGGCGTCTAGAATGGTATAACAAACTAACATAAGCAAGCGACTTGTATAGATGGCATATAGAGCGTTCACCCTGCTATCCCAATATGGTTTGTATCTAATAAAAGCTAACAAATTAAACTAAGGCTGGTTTTATTGATAGGAATGCTATTGAGCTCGTTTAGAAGAATTTTTGAAATGACTGAAAACGTTTTCAGAAAAATGTTCTTGAATTCCAAAAAACATTTAATGTGTTTCCTGCCAGATGCACCATTTATGTGCTTCCCTTCCATTTTACTCAAGATTGATTTAAAAAATATTTTCACAAAAAACGTTTTCAGCTATTTTAAAAGCACTTCCAAACAAGTCATTGACACTCAAAAAGATGATTTTGTACTTTCTCATGAGTAAATTTTTTCTTTCTAAATATAAGAAGTTTTAAAAAATGCATAATAATTTTTTTAAAGTTCCAATAATAACACCCTTATTGATTTCTCATAATTTGTTAAACACAACCTACATATTGAAAACAAATGCACATTTACTTTTTTGTTTAGGAATTGTATTAGGACACTCAATAGACATACCCACTACTCTCACCCGCACCCTCTCTACGTAACACCGTTTTCTAGTAGGAGACAACTGAAATTTTGAATTGCCAGCAACAATACTTCACTTCAACATTGAAATATTTCAATCATTACGGGTAGCTCTGTGGTTGGCAATGAATTATAGGTCCGTAGTCTACGTGGCACATTGGGGTTTGATTTTGAGTACTTATGAATCACACAATAATAGTTAGAAAGAGGTTAAATGTCTCTGTGAGTCTTTACAGTCTGCAGATGGATATATTGCCGTGCTAAAACCACCAACTAATCCTTATTTAAGAAAAATATTGCAATATTTCAACAATCAATGACTACATATACCTTGTATTTTCAATTAGGAACTACTGAAATAAGTTCAACTATTCCGTTGCTTGTGAAGAAACTATAGATATAAAGCTCTGCCAAAATTTTCACGTGACTTTACTTTGTACTTTCAATAAGGGACGTAAAGAAGTCCGAATATTTGGTTGCGTTATGGTTGAAACAATAGACATATTATGTTACATCTCTACCGAAATATCTTCACGTTTCTCTTCATTGTTTGCCTACCGAAAACTGGCTCGTGATTCTTCTAGTCATGCCTGAAATGGATGAGAGATTTTTCGATGTGACTTGAATACGAAGTAGTACATCACGTGTCATTATACAAATAGTGCGATATGCGTGTTAAAAAGTTAAGTAACTTAAAAATTAAAACTTCCCACCACTTATATAAAAACACGTGATGTACCATCCGTATTCTAATCATAATGAAAAATTTCTTCATACAAAGAGTAGGTTTACTTGTTCATTATGAAGCCATGTCCCGTGGTTAATTTAGGGTTTCACCAATAGTATGACGTTGTTTACTTGTTCATCGGTGTGCGTGATTATATATGTATTTTTAACTTCCAAAACAGCATGACCAAGCGGCCCATAATATTTTATAACGTGGTCCAACAATTTTTTGAGAAAATAGTTGAACCACGCGATTGGTCCAATAAACCAATCCAAGCCTAAGACTTCGAGATTTGATCCATGGTCCAAATCCCATTTAAAGAAATCAAGGTTTGTGGTCCACAAAATAGAAATGTTTTGGTGGGATGAGGATCTCTTTGTGAAGATCTTAGGTATCAATTAATCTTAATTATTTGTTGTACATTATGCGGTCAACTTTTGTTAGGAACTATTTGTGTTCAATTTTAAATAAAAAATGCAGAATGACTGATAAATGGATACGATAAACGCAACTAGTTGACCAAATCCTCACCGGATAGTATCCTGTTCCGTTTTGGTGGTCCGGAGAAATCTCACGCGTGGAAAAAACTAAAATGATAAGGATCAAGATTCAGACGTGATGAGAAAAAATGATATCCAATTCGAGGAAATAATGGTCTACGGTCCACGGAAGGAAAAAGTCTATGATTCTTCTAAAGATATTTGGAGATCAGCATAAGGGAAACTCAAATAGCTAGGCAAGAAATAAAGCCAATAAACCCCGAAAAGGCATGAGTATTCCAAGAAGAGTTGATTGTCGAACATCACACTACAAAATTGGAGCAGTCGAGGAAGGAAGGCTTTTCAAATGGACAAACTTGAGGGACAATAAGTTGCCGATCGACCTAGGGCTATGAAGCTTGAAGGAAAAAAGAGAGTCTCTCTCGTGAAAAAAAAAAAAAAAAAAAAAAACACTTCATATTTCTTGTACTGTTGGAAATAAAGTATAGAGAAAAAGAAATAGATGACGAAACAAATTAATTGGTAAATCATGAAGAATAAATTTGAATAAATACTGTAGTTTCATTTACTGGGGAATATATTACACGTGCACCTAGGATTCAAAGATGAAGTATTTCTCTCATTTTTTTTTTTTTTTCACTATCATCAATAATTTAGTGCAAGTAAAGGGCCAAGAAGGACAAGACTGAAGCTCCGACCAGAGATCCAACGGCGTTCATGTTGCTTCCATTAGGTGCTGGAACAGAAGCATCGGAGATGGGAGCTGCGGAGGGGGTGGCAGCTGGGGTGGCGGCTGCAGCCTTTAGAGGTGCAGCAGCCATAGCTGCGGACATGCAGACAGCAACCACGAGGACAACCAAGGCAATCTTCTTCATGGTCATTTTGCGGGTGGCGTGTGGTCGGTCGATGGATCGAAAACAAGCCTTGCAATTGGAATGTTAGGAGGCTTGTAGAAGTCGGTAGCTGTCCTGAGGAAGATAGGAAGGCAGACGGAGATATATATAGCTTTCTACGGAGGAGGGTTTTGTTATTTTTGGGATGAAATCTGTTGGATTTTGTGTGAGGTTTGGAAGGGTTAGTAGTAGTACGTACGTGTATGGTTTTTGCATGAACAACGCCTACATGCATGGGTATAACAAACTAACAAATTAAGTAATAAATGTCAAGATTAGAGGAGGATTTACTAACAATATTCATGCCCATTTTTGTATCATTGTATGTGATGGTAGTACGAGAGAAAATCAAGTAAGGTGATTTGAACACATGAATTGAAGATTCACAGATGCTCTGGTTAGAAGATGCAACTATGAGATGGAGGGTCAACGCAAAATGGGTAGATGAAGACCTAAAAAGACTTGGAAATTAACCTTAAGAAAAGATATGGAGTACTTGGAGCTAACAGAAAACATGGTGCAAAACTAATCCAGTGGTGTCCTAGGATTTATAGAGCCGACCTCACTTAGTGTTATGTTGCTGTATGTGAGGGTAATAGCATGCATAATTACATGTTGAAAATGCTAAAGAGATCACATTCTTGTGCTACAATTATGTAGCTAGTCCGATGTGGCAAGTGTAAAAACTTAATTCCGTCACCAATAAACCTATAAAAGGATCACATTCAAATTGGATCGGCCTAATGTAAATCATTTATCATCAAATTATCGAACTCATGGCATTTTTAGATCATCAACCTTATTTGATCAAATTGACACCTAATAAGCATCAAATCCGTACAAGTTAATGTTGGATTATCTTAACACCTAAACAAATTAAATTCCTTAATAGTACGTGCTTAATTTTCTTGAAATGTTTGTATAGTCTTATATAACTATAAGTAATTTTTGAAGAAAAACTTGGATAAGAGTATTCAACCACGCTAGCCGTAGAACATTTTTATAAAAAACGTTAAGACTCTTTTGTCAGACTAGTGTGTGCAAAAAATTGTGTGAAAAAGGTGGTGACAATTTACTCCCAAAAAAATATGAATGCAAATACTAAGTTTTTTTTTTTATTATTTTTTTTTTTTTTAAGGGGATCACTTGGTGGATTCGTTGTAGCCAGTTCATCATTTTGGAGGTCCGGAAGACTCATTGAGACACTTTATCCTTCTCTTGAGCACCCATCATGAAATTCACTAACGCCAAAAATCAAACTCAAGACATATAGTCTAAAATACGAACTTAAAATTCATCCTCAACCTGCCACCCCGTAGTTGTTGAATGTAAATACAAAGTTGACTGTAGAGTAAAATAATATAGGATTTAAATAAAATTTCCCATCAAGAAATCTTTGAAGTGAAAGCAAGTCGACATATTTCCTTCTTTCTTTTCTTTTCTTTGGTAAAGCATCATTTTTAAACTTTCTTTACTCAACGGTCTAGATATCGCCACCCTACTCAACAAGGACAACCACCGACCAATAGAGCCGTTATGGGGACCATAGAAAAGAAGCAAAAGGCTGACATGTCACCTCATTAAACAAAAATTGAAGATTTTAAGTTTATTTACAAAAATTAAAATTAAAAGGGTCTATAAATACATGTCTCTCCAGGTTTTCAACTCAACAGAAACACAATCTCTCCTCTCTCTCTCTCTCTCTCTCTCTCTCTCTCTCTCACACAGTTCACTCAATCCATTATCTGTTCTTCCTCTCTAGAAATGGCGCAAGTTGGCATCTGCAAAGCTGTGTTCTTGATGGTAATCGCCATTGTGCTTGTCTCAGTTAGGGCTCAGGATGGCGCACCGGCACCATCACCGGCATTGGACGCTGGAGCCGGAGTTCCAGTGACAATTTCCGGCGCTTTTGTTTACTCTTCGGTGCTCCTCTCTCTCTTTGCGCTGTTGAGGTATTAGGGAGATTCAAGACTGAGACCGCTATTTAAACATTGTGGTATTTTTTTGTGTTCTTTTGGAGATGGATTTCACCATTTGTTGTGGATGTTATATTGCTTCATCATAATATATATACAGTAGTGGTCTGAATCTGCTATTTTTGGCCTTCAATACTGCATTTCTAGCGCCAGCGGCCGCAGTCTAGCGGCCATGGCCATCTACTTGGCCCCGATCTGGCAACATTCTATCACGTATTTGAAGTTTAGAAGCTAACTTCGACGCAATGCCTACTTTAGAAGCTAACAGGGACGAGAACTGTTCAGAAGAATTACATTTAACATTCCTACTCACATAAGTTCAATACCTCCGGGCAAATAAGAACCAAACTTGCAGCCAGCGTCCACTTGAGAATGTTAAAATCAACCAACCTAGAGTATTCATATATCTAACAATGGCAATGGTGTTGTGTAAGGGAATTCTTACTTGAATTTCCCATAGTGTCTACACCAATAGCAATTCTAACTTCTTGTTGATCTCAAATATTTCGGATTTTTAAGATACTGTATACTGGAATCTCCAGCACAACCTTTACCTTGTTGTTTGACCTCAACCAAGAATCAGTACAAATATTTCGGAATTTGCTGATCCTCTTAACTCGTCATCCAGCAATATATAACTAATCCTCGAGGTTGGTTGTCGAAAAACAACAACCAACATCCATATCTTGACGAATGATTTCTAACTAACCGATAACTTGGCTCAGTATTTCTAGAGTTTGAAGTTCGCGTTGGGCTTAAGTTTGACTTCTTACTGGCGGGAGGTGCACAGTGCGTCCATAGTACAGAGTGCTGGAAGCTAAACCTTAGACATTATAGAGGGTAGGAAGTTGGGTTCTATAAAGATGCGGGTTCTATAAAGATGCACACTCACAATTTCTGAGAAGTAGCTCAACTGTAATCCAGATGATACTCAAACAATTCAACTGATTGAACACAACAAATGCTTAAAAAAAAACCAAACTGTACGCCATGATAACAAACTGTTCAGATAATTCATAACGAAAGTGATCCATGTTGCTGAGGGGCCGTTTAATAACCATTTCACTTTCAGCTTTCAGTTACCAAACAAGATTTCAATTTTCAAAAAAGTGAAACAAAAACTGAAAATTGAAAATGAAATGGTTATCAAACGGCCTCTAAAGATTACAACACACAATTCACACTGAACATAAAGGAGAAAAAAGCAGATCCATCTCTATGTTCTCGACAATATGAAACATCTCGAATGTAAATTCTCAAAGTTATCAGATTCATACAACTCATGCCAAGAATTACAATTTCGCTATGCCGTTCCCAATTAATGGCATTATTGATTTACTCATTCAAAATGAAGAACTATAGAATTCAACAGAGAGATTATATCACTACAACAACAAAATTTGAAACTCTAACGCCTCAAATTTCCAAAAATTCATCTCTTTTCCTCAGTACCAATGCCTATTCCCTCACCTAAAGATTAATCCTTTTGGATCAATCATCCAATTATCCAACTATCCAAGTGTAACCCAGTTTCTCCAATCACCTAATATATACTAACAAAATCGAAATATAATCAAAAAAGATACAAAATTTAACTCATACCCATCAATCTACTTGCTCTTAGCATCTTTACCATCTTTAGCAGCTTCACCTTCACCGGCAACGGCACCGGCACCTGCCTCCTCCAGCTTCTTCTTATTCTTCTCTATGGCCGCAGCAACTTCACCCGGCATGTACTTCTCGTCATGCTTGGCCAAAACCTCCGTGGCGGCAAAGTAGCACTCGCCGCTCCTAGCCTTTTCCGATATGCTTTTCGTCGAAATTTCCCTCCGAATCTCCTCCGTGAAAGGCTTCACAAATCCCTCCACCACCACCGAGTGGCCCTCCCGGAACAAATCGGGCAATGATCCCTTGTACCGGACCAAGATATCGGTCATCAAATCGGTGACGACGAACTCCATCTCCGGCGAGGAAGACGGCTGGACAACGCTACCTTCAAGGACGAGGCCGCCGACCCGGAACTTGCTCTTGCTAGGGTTTGCGGAGTATTTCTCGATAGCGTCGGTTGGAGTGACGTAGAAGACGAGCTGGTCTTGGAAGCTGTTGAGGACGATGACAATGAATCCGGCGATGCAGCTGAAGGTCAGGGCGTACGGTCCAGAGGCGGCGGGTTTGGAGCTGGCGAGCCCGGGCTCCGATGTCGACGGGTTTGGGGCGGGTCGGACCGCGGCGGGTGGTGGAGAGGAAGCGGAGAGTGAAGGGGAGGTGGGGATTTGATGGAGGGTGGAGATGGGGGGTGGAGAGGAGGGAGAAGATGGAAGGTGGAGATTTGAATACGGGGTGGTGGTGGATCGGGGTTGTGGTGCGGAGGAGGTGGGATTTGAGGCGGAGGGCGATGCGAGTGGCCATTTGGATTTGTGGGGGAATTTTCTCGTGAAAGTGATGGAAAATTGGGGTGGAAAAGTGAAGGGGAACGTCTAGGGGTTTGGAGAGGTAGAAGAAGCAGCGTCTCTACAGAAGCTCTCTGTTTTTGGTCAAAGGGACTTCGGAAGGATAGGAAGGGAATTTGGAATTTTTTTTTTGGTTTTTTTTTTTTTAAAATTTAGGGCATATTTGATAATGTATTACAAACGTTTTGATTTTAGGAGGTGATTTTTACACTTAGTTTTTAGCTTTTTATATACATTAAAAAAACACATTGAAATGTGTATAGTATTAATATATAAAATGTAGAAAAATAAATCTATGTTGTTAGTAATATTTTTATAATATAAATTGTTGGATGGCAATGGTTGTGGTGGATTATAAGTGATAGGTAATATTGAATAAGGAGGGATAAATGATGATTGCAATTATGAATTCTTGTATAAAAGAACACATCAATTTTAATTAATTTAACTGCACACATCTGTATTAAAAAATAAAATAAAATTCAAACTCGCTACAATGTTATGAAAATTTCTTCTCTAATGTAGGGTATTGATTCTTCGCGTAAAGCCCTTTGCAATACTAGCCAAACCACTAGCCCCTAAAATATAGGAATTAGCCCTTCTATTGAAGTACGGATTGGATGTTGATATGTACAAGCCAAGGTTAGGTGACTAAGGGAGATTATATTTAGGGATGTAATATCTACATACCCAATTTTACTTCTCACACACTTTTCTAATTTTCGGTCGTCGAATTGGATAAATTGAAGATGATCAACGGACAGAAATTAACAAGATGTGTGAGAAATAATTTGGGGTGTATGGATAACACACCCCTATATTTACACACCTCAAATTACTTCTTTCACACATTTTTAATATTTTTTTATCAAGTGTTAGTGATGTGTAAAAAATATTAAAAAATTAAAAATACGTAGGAATTTGAGATGTGTGAATATAATCTCTTTATACTAAAAAAAAAGGTAGATAAAAAACTCAATTCCCTCTCTTCTCTTCTCTTCTCTCTCTCTCTCACTCCTCTCTCTATATAAACCATATCAGCTCCACCGTTTACCCTCAATTCAGTCGTAGTTCCGTCAAACTCTTTTGAACCCAAAAATCTTGGAGCTTTTTGGACTGGTGGGTCAAAAGCTTCTCCATGGATTCTCAGGTGTTGGTGGCTCTCGCGCTCTCACTCGTGGGTGGACTCAGTACTTCACTCGGTCAGTACATAAAGACCCGTGGTTGTTCATGCTCTGCTGAAATTTCAGCTGCCCATTTCAGCAATTTCACATTGAATTACCCCATTTATTGAATTTTGTTGTTCTTGTTTATTTTATCTAGAATGGTTTCCTAAATTTGCTTCTGGGTTTTTCTTATTTTTGGGTTTTGGATTCAAATTTGTTTCCTTTGTTTGACTTTTTTTTTTAAATAGAATCTTTTGATGGAAGTATTATTAATATTGATTACTTTGCTGGAGCTGGGGCTGGTTAAATTAGCTTCTTATAGTTTCGATTACGGTTGAATTGACTCCATCAAGTTGCCGTGGAATTGAGGTTTAATGGTATTAACTTATGATACTAGAATTGATCGGATAGACAAAGATATCGAAATGCAGCTCAATTGACTTTGTTTTCGAAAAAGGTTCATTTGACGTTTTTAGAGCAAATTTACTCTATCAAGTTATTGTGAAATTGAGCTCTAAGGCTTTTAACTTGTAATTGATGATGATGGAATTGCGAGGATTTGTTCCAATTGTTTTGTGTGCAAGTTTTTGGTATTGATCCTGGTGCCAAAAAAAGGATTTTTGCTCATGTTTCTTATGGAATTCCTTAATTTATCATGTTCACCTCAATGCTTAGTTGATCAGTTTATGATCTGGAGCCTAATTCTGAACCATGGAATGTGGAACAGGTGCGCTTTTTGTAATTGTCAATGAAACTCCTAATTTGAAGAAGCTCGGGCTTTTACAGGTGCTCCGATTTCATTTCCTCAAATGCCGACTTGTTTTTTCTGTCTGCTAATGTCATTTTCTTCCTTTCGGAAGATTGAATCATTGTGTTGACTTAATTGCTTACATCTTCTTCTCCCTTCCAGCCGATATGTACGTGTCGCCAATGTATTTTACTCTACGATAAATGTTACTCTTTACGTTTAACTTAGCAAATATGCATCTGACATTGATGACATTTTGTGATCCTTTTGAATTGATGTGATATAGTCAGGATGTGCTTAGGGAACCAAGATCCATCTAAACCTCTGATGTTCTGTCTACAGGGTTTTGCCGCAGGTCTGATGCTAAGCATATCATTCCTAGATTTGGCTCACAACGCTATAAACTCAATTGGCTTTTTAAAAGCCAACCTATGGGTAAGTTATGTACTTCAATGTTCATCTGATTTAATAGTGGAGCCAGGAAGTTCTTAATGGGTAGGCAACTATTTACTTATTTGGCTGGAGCCAGTAAATATAGGTAAAATGTAGGTATATTTTCTACAACAGCTAGCTATACCTCATGGTAGCCACCCCCTGGCTCCGCCCTCAAATTCTGATTCACTTGGGTTTGAATACATCAGTTTTATGACATGTGTTGTCCCTGTTTCCTCTTAAGAATTGGATTAAAATTTATTGGCGGTGCAGTTTTTTGGAGGTGTCATATTCTTTGCTATCATTGCCAATTTTATCCCAGAACCAACTCTTGCTCCTATTTCAAAGGTATTGATTATCTCTTCTCCTAATTTAGCATGTTGTGGATACTTTTACATATGACTGGGAATTACACATCCACCCAGAATATTGAAGGTGTGTTTGACCGTAAGACAATGTGCTTAACAACAGAAAAGTGGAGATGAAGGGGGCAAGGACACTTTGAAAAAGCATCGACGTCAAGTTTTATTCAGTGGGATAGTAACAGCAATAGGTATTACTACATTATTGAGATGTTTAAATCACCTTCCACATCCAGACAGTTATTTGAATTAGAAAATGAAATTAATCTTTACTTATTTGTGGAATTGGAAATATTAGTTATTTTTCATATGTTTGTAGTCTAAGTGTGCATGATAAATTAAATTTGTGGTACTCAATTCTATGATTAGCAAAGCCTATTTCATGTCTTTGCGTGCATACAAGAAGAATAAAACCCACCCCTCTGCCACTCCACCCACATGCCACCCTACCCAAGGCCTAAGGGTGTTCTACTCTACATCATTTGCATATTTTGAAAGTCTTTCATGGCTTGTAGCAATGCTTTTTAGTTTCTAGTTTCTAGAGATTTTTTTTTCCTTCGGAGGAATAAAGTCTGAGCAAATAGTATACTTCAGTAATATGCTTAATTTGTATACTTTATCCCTTATGAAATGGAACATCCGGTCAATTGAATTGCAGGCATAAGTTTACACAATTTTCCGGAAGGAATGGCTGTGTTTCTTGGATCAATGAAGGTAACTCAAGCTTAAGTTTTCATAGTACTTGGACTTGGAGTATTTAGTTAATTCTAGTTTGAATTAGATAGATGAAGTCATGCTTATTTTATTTTGAGTTTTATGTTCTGTGTTTGATTTAACATAAACTTAATAATTATGTCTGAAAAAAGTGTCTTCATCAATGATCAGAGTTTCTTTAATTCATGATGTGTAATATTAATGCTATTTTCATTTTAGTTATTTTAAAAAATGTTGTTGAAAACAGAATGCGAGGTGTCTATGACCTTTAAATTATTTTTTTATTACCAACCATTTGGTATACTTCGTGACCTAAATGGCTAAATCAGATCTATTGTTTTCCAGTTGGTAAAACTTTCTTCTTTTCTTCCTTGTGATGCATTTTTAGCGTTATTACCCACAAGTGAATATGTTCCTGGACACTCAGCTGCTGCTAAAAAAATTCATGTTGTCTTGGAAATATGTTGCTTTCTTCTTGAAGCACAACTTCTGAAGTTGCGGTGTCTAGTTTGGAACTCTTTTCTAAATCTACTCTTGTTTGTGATCTAAGACAAGTTGAACTTGATTAGATGCTTACTGATCCTGCTTTCTACGTATCTTTTTTCATAGTGCATATTACTTTTGATTGCATAGTCTTTTCATCTATGGGACTGATGATTATGGATGCAGCAAGAATAATTTAGATATCTGTTTGCGGACTATAATTACAGCTGATGCTAATTGTTGCATACAATTCCTGCTTATTCCATAATTCATTGTAGGGCCTTCGTGTTGGTGTCAACTTGGCCTTGGCCATTGCCTTACACAACATCCCAGAGGTATATTCTCTATATCTTGTACCGTTTTGTGTTACCCTAACTGCTTGCACTCTGCCATGGATTGATTTAAAGTTTGGGTTTGGACTATAGAACTATTATTTCATTGTGTATTATGTGGTGACAACTTTTTCTATTCTAGGGCGTTGCTGTGGCACTTCCTGTGTACTTTGCAACTCAGAGGTGAGAATTTATGAAGCCATCGTCTAGTTCAGCACTTGAAGTACTTGTGATGTTGACAATGAAAATTTTCACTCATTTTAAAATAACTATTATCTTTAATAAGTTCGAAATTAAGTTTTTACTCCATTTCTATGAATAATAAAAAAAAACTTCTTTTGGTGCCCATTTCTACACATGACTTCTACGCTTTGTTCATTTTCTTGTGCAAAGTAGTGATAAAATTATTGAATGGTGGGTTTTCTGCATGTCCCAGCAAATGGCAGGCATTCAAATTAGCAACGCTTTCTGGTTTCGCTGAGCCTTTGGGTGTCGTAATTGTAGGTATGCGAACTGTCAAAACAACCTTTAGATATCTTTCTTTTACCAGTCTTAAAGGGTAGGGTGGATGTAAAATAGGTGCTTGAGTCCTGAAATTCTTGAAGGCAACTTGTTAATGGGTGTCACTTTTGCTACAGCCTATCTATTTCCGAGCAGCTTGAGTCCTGAAATTCTTGAAGGCCTGCTGGGATCAGGTTTGCAAATCAATGGTTCTCATCTAAAGCAGATTACTTTGTATGAAAATTTAGTTACCATTTACTTTTGTTGTGACAGTTGGTGGAGTGATGGCTTTTCTAACGCTGCATGAGATGCTGCCCTTGGCGTTTGATTATGCGGGGCAGAAGCAAGCAGTCAAGGCCGTGTTTTTGGGAATGGCCTTCATGTCTGCAAGGTAATACTGGCGTTATAAATATATAATGAAAAATATCTGAGTCTGTCGCTGTTAGAACTTAGAAGTGCATATATAGTGTTGGGCCTCATCAAAAGAGGAGCTCTTTAAGAAGGATTTTTTTCAAAGTACATCGCTGTTTAATTTCAATCAGATTCAATATCTAGAACAAGAAGTTTAGAGCCTGAGGATCTGATATTATAAGTTTTGCTTATATCAGATAACTTTCTCCTTGCCTGTTTTGCAGCCTATATTTTCTTGAGATCAGCCTGCCTCAGGAGATGAGCTTGTAGCTGCATTCTACAGGTCCTGCCCGATAGTATTGTCATTGTTCAACTCTGTACTCCCATGATGGGCAACTGGCACTGAATACCTGTACTGTTTTTAGACCCGCGCGTTGATAGCTCATATGGTTTCGGCACAAAGAAGGTTTTACTGTGACCGTCCCGAAGATAGGAGTTCATACTCGGTATAAGAGAAATGTACTTGTCCATTAAAAGGATGTAAAATAGTGTATGGAACTTGATTTCTTCAATAAAGTCTACTCTTTCATTTACACGAGAATTTCAAGTGTCTAACAGGTTGCATTGGTTGGTTATGCTTTGGAAGGTAATATAATGATGCTCATGGCCTTTAATAGGAGAGATTGCCGTGACACCTGTTGTATACAACATTGTGTGTATAGCACACATCACGTGATTTTTACTGAAAAAGGCATGAAAAAGTCTGTGTGATCTATCTCTTTGTCCCACCTTGTTAGATGAATGCCACATGCGGCCGTCTATACACAAGTTTTTCTCCTAAAATCCTAAAAGAGACTATGGATCAAATTCCCATCCAAGCATGCCTTAAGGATGGGAATAAGATCTTCTCTGAATCCGATCCAAATCTGTTTGTTCAACCGAAAATCGAACGACTAGGAATTAATTAACTTTCTTTTTTGCTTTTTCCTATTCATCTCTCTCTCTCTCTCTCTCTCTCTCTCTCTCTCTCTCTCTCGGAGAACTTGGTTCTAGTTGTGGACAACCAGAGGTTGGAAGACGACGGTGTGGGCATGGTGGGTCGGCAATCGTACCAACACCCATCGAAGAATGCAGAGAATTGAGGATCCGGAGATAATCCCGACCCTTAAAGATGGGATACTTACATTTACTCCAACAACAGATTCCATGACCTGTGCGCTGTGCCATGGATTTGATCAGGCATTATCTCTGCCTCTCGTATTATCATCTTCTTTCATCCTCTCCTCTCATTATTCTTTTTGTCTTATTCTCTATGTAAAAAATTTAAAATAAGATGTAAACATGGTGTAATCGCAACCGTTTAAATAAGAAATGATGAAAGATGAGAGAGATTAGAAGGAGAGATAATTCTACTCCTTATTATTTTGATGCTTTAGGCTTGGCATCGATCATAACACGTTGCAAACAAAGGAAAAGACAGGAAAAGACATGTAATTAAAAAAAGGCATGAAAAAAGGAAAGGAGAGAGAGAAAAACAACAAATGAAAGTTAGCATAATTGATAGCTTTTGTATGCAACATGCTGTGACATGCAAACTGCAAAGCACAACACTTCCAAGTTTTACGAAAATTCTAGAATAGACTGGCCAATAACATAAATTAAGTGGAGCCTAGATTCTCTTCAGATTTTTGTATTTGTTGTATTTGAAGCTGACAGATTAAGTGATCCGGATTACTCATTTTAAATTTTATAATCTGCATTAGCCCATTAGATAGGTTTATCTCACGTTAACTAAGGGTCGAGATATCTTTCCCTTCAACAAATCTTTGAACTCCAAACATAAAGATTCGAAAATAACCTCAAATTCAAAAATATACATTTTTGAATTTTTCTAAGGGTTGTTTTATTGACACCCCACAATCTTATAAATACACCCTACATTTAAAATTATTCTTTTAAATTCCAATTTTAACCTTACTTCTGCTAAGCCACCCCACCTGTTCAAAACAACAATAACATTTCACCTAACTGACATCTTGCTCACCCTTCGCCACTTCTAGTCTGAGCACTCCATTCCCTCATCTTCCTCTCCCCCTTCCCCCCCTTTCGTTCTGCGAGGCCTTTAGCAGTTTGTAGAAACTGCAATTTCAAATGTCATACTCAAGGATGTCTACTTGATGGCTATGGGCATGAAAACATATGGAACGTGCTGCATTGTTGAGATCATCTTCTTGTAACAATTGAATTATTGAGATCAATGAAATTTGTTAATGATGGTGCATGTTGTTTGGCTATCGCGAAGAGAATACGTGGTGCATTTGTGGGTGCTGGGTTTGTTTTTTTTATTTTTCAAATTTAAATAGGGGTTAAAGAGGTTGTTCAATAAGAATTCAAAAAAATAGGGTATATTCATAAGAATATGAGGTATTAATATAAAAACCCTTTTTCTAATACCAAATAATTTCAAATTTGTACAAGAAAAATAAAAAATCGTAACCAACCTAAGGACTTTTAGGAGATTCCATAAACCCATTATAGTTTTGGATTTTGTTGAATACTCAATTGAAATGAAGAGACTTCAATCTCATCATCACTTACCATCGAGGAAATCATTGCATCTTCCTGGAAATGCAATTTTTGGAACCAAAAAAAAAATATATATATACACAGTTCGTCTGCACAACATGGGATTAAAAGCTGTCTAGTCCTATCTGTAACTGATCTATTGCAAAAAGTAAGCTTTTTTTATTTGATTTTTGAAGTTGAAGAGAAAATGGGGGGAAATTAGTGAGAAACTCCACTCAAAGCAAAAGAGAAGAAAATACTAAAAGGTGTTTTATTTGGGTAAAAGGAGAGAGTGGGGAAGGAACCAAAATCAAGTTTTTGACAAAAAGCTTTATTGGTAATGAACATCTTAGACCTAACCAAAGCTCAATGCTTAAAAATGTCTCAAAGACAAATGAACATATTTGTCATTTGTTAGAAGAGAGAATTTCTTATGCACACAATTTGGATGACATCTCTCTCATTTAAACATCAATAATTTACAGTTACTTAAATGCACATGAATGACTAATGATATCATTTTAACTTTAAACATTGTATTTATGGTGTTACTTTTCTTAACATATGTGTTGATTGATGTACATGGACTATAGTCTACATAGAAACTTTGGGCTAAAACATGCGGGAATATGGAAAGGGACCCTCTTTGGATCCCTTCCTCCTAATCCACTCAGTTCGAGGATCCGGACTATTGAAATTTGATCTAATGGCTAAAGTTATTATAACTTTTAAAGTAGGACTCCTGTTTGTAACCGTTAGATTAAATTTCAATAGCCCGGATCTCCAGACTTGATGAATTAGGAGGATCCCTTTCTGTGGGAATATAATGTTTATGATCATGACAAAGAAGCAATAGTAATGCTTGTGAATCCTTTGGATATTCTTGATGAATCATGAATGGTACGGTTTCTGTTCAGTTACCCTAGAATAGTGCTGCTGCCATAGCTATAGCCAATATTCACCTGCTAAGTTCTGGTGCTAAAACCAAATCCTACACAATGCATCTGTTTTGTGGGTAGCAAAAAAAAGCACTAAAAGTTAAAAACATTCTAGTGAACAAGTGTGCAGGTGCAGCAACTTTGCTGCTGCTGCCTTTTTTTAATTACTTCGACTCTTTTTTTGTGCTTCCATGCATATATGTTCTGTCTGTACCAACAAAGTTTCTTTTAATCTAGTAGCAGTTTGTCATATTTTCTTCTAATTTTGGCTTCTATAGGCTAAATTAACAATCGTGAAACATGAATTTGTTTAGCCAATTTGACCAAAGTTTTGTAAGGATGATCAATATGAATGAAAACAAAAAAAAAAAGGATTAACGGTTTAAGAGCATTTCCAAAATGCTGTAAAACAACCAATAAAACTCTATTTCAAAGAGTCAAACTAAAAAATTGATCTCCAAAAAATGCTGTGAAAGAGTCTATATTATAGCAAAATGAATTGTTACTCTTTAAATTTAGAGAGGAACTATTCATTTACTAAATATTAAAAAAATAATAAAACTCAAAGATGGACCCATGTTTTATTATTTTTGTAAGAATGATCTTATCTAATATTGGCAACAAATAAAACCTAAGTTTGCAATATCTATGAAGAATCTTTGTATGTGAAAGTACTTCTATTTCTTTACTTTAACTAGGTTGATTCTTCAATTTTTCTTGGGTGATATTATCCACACACCTATTTTTACACATTTGTTACACACCTCGTATAATTTATGTCCATGATCTTTTTCAATTTATTCAATCTAACTTCCGAAGATTGAGACGGGTATGTAAAAGGTAAAAAGAAGTGTGTGGATAGCAATCGCCCTTTTTCTTCCTTAAAGACTTGGCTGATAAACATGTAAAAAGACGATTAGTTTTCGCCCCCATCTTTATCTTCCTCATGCATGGGGATCCTTGACCACATAAACGGAGTTCAATCCTGCTTACACGATTCACTAATCACAATCAACTACATACATATACCAAGGGTCCAAGACAAAGTTGTATCTAGTAGTTTATCCATCCCCAAAATAAACCTCGCATCTTGTAAAGTAAATTACTAATTAAATTCACTAGCTTGAATCCTAGCCAATCAACCTATCTTGTTTCCGAGACAAGAATTTTGGTTGCTTGTATTTTGAGACCTAAAACCACAGCAGAGCTAATTAGGGAGGCAAAGTTGTCCCCTTTGTGCTGGCCATGCATGCTAATGGAATTGATTCTTTTGACTTGAGCTGCTATTTTTTCTCTCTCATTTTTTAGTGAAACTCGAATATCTTACCCTAATTGTCTCCCGTCGAAAAAAATAACATATCTTAGATGGTTTAAGAGTTTTTGAACACCGTATTTCTTATAAACTGATTTTTAGAGACAAGTTCTATCCGTGTACTCTTAAGAGACTGGAACATCGTTTTACAAATTGTGAATATTTTATTCGTTGCAGCTATTGGTTATACAATGGCCTTTTTGGAATTTGACTATAGAAGCTCTAAGCAACCATGCGATTTAACTGCAGTTGAGTCAAAATAGTGGGGCTTTAGAGCCAAAAAATGAGAGAGTAGGATTCTCTCTTCTAAATTTTCCTCCCCTTCAGTCCTCTTTTATTTGAATGATCACGATCAAGTTATGTTAATATTTTGTATTGACTTTTTTTATAGAGAGAGAAAGAAAAAGAGAAAAGTGGGAGAGGAGGGCAGAGGAGGAGAGGAGATTTGGAATGGAGTGAATTCTAATCGAAAAAGGAGAAGAGAAAAAAGAATCAAGAAAATAAGTTTATGGATATGTTACTATATGAATGTATAGAGAGAACTAACATAATCATACGTTAGGTGCATTGTGGGACTAGCATCTACCTTATATACAATTATATTCTTTTTTGTACGTATTTTAATGAAAGTTTGGTGGGGACTAAGTTTATTTTTAACACCAAATATTGAAAAAACAAATAAGCATAATTTGGTGTTTTACAATAACTTTATACAAATTATAGTTTGATATATATATATATATATATATAAAATGATCAAAATGATATTCATTAAATT